CGTGTTTTGAGAGCTTAGAGAGTTCTTGTGAGAGGTTGAAGTCCTTAGGTGAGGGCAACATAGTACCCACCAGTAGCAGGAAGCGTCCAGGTAGCAGGAAGCGTCCGGGCTCGTGGTCCACCTCCTCCACCAACTTCCTCCCCTCTCTTCTCCCCAAATTGCCGGCCCATCCTCCCTCTCCTTACTTTTATTGGCTGAAACCCTATATACCCTCCAAACCCTAGTTGCCGGCCCCAAGCTCCTTCCCTCATATTGGCCACCAACCCAAACTCTTCATCCCAATCCCTTCATAGCCACCGGCCATACATCTTCCCCTTCTCCTTAGTCGCTAGTCACCTCCTCCCTAAACTGCCAACCCCTCACACCTTCTCAAACCGTCAGCCACCCAAGCCCTCCACCTCCACAATTCTCTTTCTTCAATGAATGCTCTCCAAATTTAATGCATCATAAATTAGGAAAGTTTTCAAAATTCAGATTTTATATTCTTTAAAATTTGAAATTGTTTTCTTAAATAGATTTGGTTAAATTAGGAAAGGCCCCACCCAAGATAATTTAAATTTTGAAAAAAGATATTCTAAATCTCCTTTCCTAATTTAAATTTCCAAACTTAGCAACCCCTTTAGTCATCCAATTAAATCCCCCATCAGGGGGCCAACCTACTTATCCCTCTCTCCTTTATTTGGAGATGATTTAATTCAAATTACCCTTTTCCAACCTAAATCCCAATTAATCCCACCCATGTGCCGCCCCTCTCTTTGTTTGTTGTCCAGAAGTTTCCCAATCCATATTTTGCTGTCCCCTCATGTATGGCTGATCTAGAACATGATCATGGCTTAGTTTTTGACGATCAAGGGTTAATTGATATTCTTCGTTCTCTGTTCTTCGACATAGACCTTGTGAACGATCACTCCGTTGGAGAGTATGTGGAACGAATCCTCGTCTCCCTTGCAACCGCTATTGATCAAAGACAACCTCCCGATCAGTGGCAATTTTCTTCAGAATCCTGACAAAGGTGAACTCTCTCCCGAATCTTATTTCTTCTAAGTCACTCCTAATTATGGCATTACAAAGATCATGCAAGCTTTCTCCCGTTAACCAGTTATTAAGAGTGAGAGTGAGGGATCTTAAATAGTGACTATTCTAAATATTAATTAAGGAATTTCTTTTAAAAACCCTACATTAAGCAAAATCTGATTTGATTGGTTGTTTTGTACTCTAAATCTTTATCATGTATTCTATTGCTTGAACTAAATCATTACTTTAGTGTTTTCATTCATCGTTTAAATTGTTGGAAGTGACTAATTGCTCTTGCTCTTTCAAAAACGTATAATTTCAAAGGTAAAACATCAACAAACATATTTAGTTCTACATCACATAGGCCATATTTAATGCATTTACTCTCCTAACAAGGTCATCGAAAAGCTAACATTTTATTTGACCAAACCATCTAAGACTATCTCTAATCATATCTGCAATTGTAGCCACTTCAACCTTTTCACATATATACTCATTTTGCATTATGTCTCTAAGTGTAAAGTCACCATCCATCTGAGCGTCATCATCTCTGTAACACTTCACTTAATTTTATGCTGCTCTTTTAATGACAAACATTATGCTCCATAAAGCATTGCAGGTCTCACCATAATCTTATAGAATTTTCCCTTAAGATTAAGGTGTACTTTTCTATCACAATAGACTCGATGCATTCCTCCAGTTTGATCATCGAACTTGAATTTGACTAATAATATCCCCATCTATTTAACCGTCTAAACAATAAACCCAAGATATCTAAAATATGTACTCTTTTTAATGTCTTTGATCACTGATAGTCATAATCCCCTAACATGTCTATTACCACTAAACTTACTCTCGATGTACTCGATTTTAGATCCACTCAAATGAAAACTTTTGGACTCAAAGATTGACCTCCATAATTCAAGTTTTTCTTCAACTCCATTATTATCAATAAGAAGAATATCGCCAACAAAAACCATACACCAAGGTACATCATCTTGAAAATTCTAGTTGTAATATGATATGAAGTCGATGCAGAAGTTTTCTAATCCCTTGGCTGAAATTCAATTTCAGCAAAACCAGAAAACATAGCCAAGAAAAATCGGTAGAACACACAAATCCTCTTTTTATTGCGAGATATATGAAGAAAAACAATAAGATACTAGCCATGTCTAAAGCCCACTCAACCTAGTCAAATCTATTTCTAGCAAAATCAATCATAATTTGAAATCACCCAGTAGTTAGTCTTAAATAGGCTCCCTCTAATTCCCTCCCAAATCAGCCATCTTTTCCTAAATAATTCTTTCTCAAATTTGAATTCAAATTAGATCTCTATCCCTAATTAATTCCCTTCTAATTGTAATTAAAATTTTCCTTAGCAATTTTCCCTTGATTTCTCCTTACATAATGAATATTAACTCTTATCGATCTTCTCTGTCTTTAATTAATTCTCTCATCATCTCCTCCATGATGGCAAACTTCATATCGATCTTCTCATTGGCGGCTGAAATTTGACTTTAAAAATATGAAATTTTAGATTTCAATATTCTAATCTACCCTTCAAATACTTCTACCTTTCTTTCTTCCATGGGTACCCAGATTTATGCTCTGATACCAATTTGATAGGAAGTGGATGCAAAAATTTTCTAATCCATTGGCTGAATTTCAATTCTAGCAAAACCAAAAAACAAACTTAAGGAAAATCGAGAACACACAAATACTCTTTTTATTGCAAGATATATGAAGGAAAGCAACAAGATACATTTGGATCTTCAATTGGAGAGGAAGATCCAACTCTCCCAAATCCCTAGAGTCGTCGGCTAGAGCCCACTCAATCTAAGAAAAATTAATTATAATAAAATCAAGCATAATATGAAATCACTCCATAGTTAGCCTTAAATAGCCCCCCCTCCCAAATTAACCCCTTTCCTTGAATAATTCCCTCTCATATTTGAATTCAAATTAGATCTCTGTCCCTAATTAATTCCCTCTTAAAGGATTCCCACTTTATTCCTCCTTACATAATGAATATTAACTCCCATAGTTTTTTTGAATGTGTGGTTTCCTTTTTTGACGCATGCTTGGTTCATCTGCTAAGATTTAGTAGTAGTCAGGTTTTAGACAATTGTTTCCCTTTTTGGAGGATTTTCATGTTTTTTTTTGCCTTTTTCAGATCCTGCCTACAGTCTTTTTGGATTTTTTTCCTCCTATTTGGGGATGCATTCCTCATATTTGCAGTATAAACATATCATTGTCATTTCTTAATGTCTTGTTTTGTTCTCATCATACCCTCATCCAACAAGATTTTTATATCATGATCGTCTGACCTTTTAGAGGTAACCACCTACATTGAGCTCCTACGGACTTGATGAATGCTGGTTCACTTACTGCGCTCAGTTACTAACTGCTGTCCTTAGTAATCCATGGTGCATGAACACTACAGATGGACACGTATATAACAGTTTGAGGTTCTGTGGCTTTAGGAAGGAGGGGCTATGGAATATCTATTGTGGTAGCTGAAATAGCAAATTTGTCTGCTTCATTATAATATCTTGCTCCTTAACACGAAAGTGCCTCAGTTTGCATCAAATAATTTTGAATTTTCAAGCATATTATTGTTATAGCAATTGCACCCTTAGTCTTTAGAAAATGGACTCAGGTTCCTCCCTTTTGCATACCTTTTATGAGTGCATTTTGATTTGAGGTTTACATTAATTACTTTGGGTATATGAAGATGCTTCTATCCATATGTTTCCTTAAATTAATTTAGGTTAACTTAATGGGTTAATGAAAATGCGAGAATGTTGATGTTCTCCCCTATCGGATTACATATCAAGTATGTTAATGAATATGATTTTAGTACAAGTATAATGGACGTAAATGATTCAATGAAATTAATAACTATATAGAAACAAAGCTCTCAATTTTTAGTTATTTCATTGGTATCCCTTTGGAAAATTAGTAATTTTATTATTATTTTTAATAAAGTTAATTGTGATTTTAATTCCATTGTCTTTAAAGTTCTATTAAGTCAGTTCTGATATATTTTCTTCGCTTTTGAAAGTACAACAGATATTAATTAACTTAACAACTTAATAATTTTGAGATTTATTTGATATTCTTTCCATGAAATTTAGTAGTATCTTATGTTCTTATTTTTTAATAGTTAATTGTATAATTTAAAGATAATTTTTTAATGCTCTCATTCGGGATCTTGGATCTGCCACTGGTCGAAACAATGCATAGGTGGCATTATCTTGTCATGCATAGGAAAAACCATGATTTAAATTCTTAAAAAAAGAAGGAAAAGTAAGTTATGTTTCCGTCAGGTCTCAATTTTGCCTCTTCGTGTTGAGAAATTTATGTTTTTTTTTTCTTTTAATACAGGGCATGCCTTTGCCGCAACCATCGGTCCTTGTAATTTGAAATATCATTGGATTCTAGCTAGTAACTCAGCCTTTAATGGGTGTCTCATTATGGTAACTTAAAAAATTTGTTTTCGGACCCTTTTTTTTTTAATGAATGTCATCACATTTGGCTTTATGGTTCAAATATTTTGCGTTATTAATTTAATTTTCACACAGTCTCCTTCTAAACCCATGTATAAAGAAGCAATTTTTTTTTCAACTCGCAGTGGTAACAAACACTAATGTGTGTGCATTCATGTAACATGGCTATTGGTTGCCTCATGGCAGCAGCAGTTAGAAAAACTCGTTTGGCATTTTTCCATAGGTTTCTCAATCTTATAAACAAATTTAATTTTGAAAATGTTAAAATTAAGACAACCATTTCACTTTTCTGATAATCTTGTTATCCTGTCACCGAAATTAAACTTCTAGTGTTTAGCCCAACATTTCAAGGAAATTAAGGTTGATTCTTGTTTGTTATTTTTTTTCTAAATTTTATGCTCAATTTGACTGACTGTTCTTTCAAAAAGTTTTTTTTTGGTTCTTGTAAATCTAAAAATTCTGTTTGTTGGCTCCTAGATGCTTGGTTAACAAGAAGTACTTGATCGCTGGTGGTGGCGCTCCAGAAATTGATATGTCATGGAAACTGGGTGTGTGGGCAAAGGAGCTCAAAGGAATGGAGAGTTTCTGCATCAAGGAGTTTGCTGAAGCTCTTGAAGTCATCCCATACACACTGGCTGAGAATGCTGGACTGAACCCCATTTCTATTGTGACAGAGCTGCGGAACCGACATGCAGAAGGTGAGACTAATGCTGGTATCAATGTGAGGAAGGGCCAAATCACAAATATCCTGGATGAAAATGTGGTTCAGCCACTACTGGTCAGCACGAGTGCGGTCACTCTTGCAATTGAATGTGTGAGGATGATTTTAAAGATAGATGATATTGTTACTGTTCGATAGATTTATCAACATTGTCTGGTAATTAAGATGGGTGTAGTGAAGGAATCGATATTGTCGTGGAATATGGCTGAGTTCCATATTACCTCTTATTATGTTTTGGGTTTGTGTTTTAGTTCGCTTGTTGACCTTTTCTTCTTGTCCAATCTAATTTGATTCTTGACTTTTCGCTTTGGCTGGTCTTGTTGCCGTGTTTTGTTTCTGGATTGAAAATTTTATATTACTTTTGATGTCCGATATGTTGAAACTACTGAGAGATCTAGTGAATTGTATAAAAAGGGTTTTTTGGCGCATCTCATTTATGCAGTTATTTGTGATGTTCATATTCTTCTGCGGTATTGTACATAAGTTAAGAATTCATGAACTTCCCTCCATCAACTTCAAACCCTGCAAGCGTCACAATTATATAATAAATTTTTATTAACTTTAGTATGTTGTTGTGTGTATATAAGTTTCTCTTAAAAATGAGTCTGGTAAGAGATTTTTTTTTTTTATGTTATATAGCAAAAAAATAATTTCTGTCTATAAAGATCATTTTTTTTCTCGTTGGTTTGACTTAGTCATGGCATTATTTTAACTTATGACATGTCAGAGCAATCATTTTCTTTTTTAATTGTCGTTTCAAATTTTGTTTTTTTAATAGCTTTTCAAATAATAATAATAAGAAAAAAGAAATGTTCAATTGTTTTATCAAAACAAGACAAACAAGACTAAGTGTTACAACCCATGAGATTTTTTAATACATTTGTTGCGGGCTAAAATAATAGCTGCAGTAAATTATTAAATTTCACTTCTTACCATTTCACCAGTATTCAGCTCACAAACACAGAATAGAAACAAAATAATTTTTTTACGTTGAAAATCCATAAGGATGAAATTATGGGTCTATGTACAGTTGAAATGATTCTACTAGTGTTTGAATATATTATAAATGATTGGTTCATCATTGAAATTGAGGACATTCAAACTACGACATTCAATCATTGGGTTGAAATGTTGCGATGAAAAGGGATCAGACAGAAGTTCATTGGCGTTCGGTGGATAGGTGGAAATCTAGTGTAAATTGATGGCTGGGTGAAAATCCAGCTTCAGCTGGTGGTCCAGCAGAAGTCTGGCGGCAGTCAGAGGATGGGCATAAGTCTGCTGATAGTCTAGGTACGGATGGTGGTCGAGGAGAAAATTGATAACAAAGGAACTCTTATTACTCTCTCTTCCTTCTCTTCTGTCTCTTTCTTGCTATGGTTCTCTTCAATAAAGAATGAGTGGTCTATTTATATTTATTTTTGAAGTGACATGACCAGTAAATAGGTAGAAGATTTTCAATATGTTGTGAGTGTTTGGAATGAACACCTGATATCAACTCCCTTGATCCTGGACTACTTATTGAGTATTTGAGTATCTTAGTGATATCATAATTTGACAATCTTAGGCTCGTTAGATTCTTCTTGTCGAGCTGCACGATTCGACTATAAGTCTCTTGTTTATGGAAATATTTGGTTGTCCATTTTATCGTCTGAATCTTTTAAATGTGCTTCAGGTCTACTAAATGTGCCTACCCGCAACTTCCAAACCAATCAGGTCATGACTGCCCAAGCGATCACGTCTAGCGCCATTTGGGCACCGCGTGCCAATTGGGAAAATAAAGTTTTCATCCTCCTTTTCTTTTCTCCCATATTTCTTCTTACTTGAGAGGCCTTCCATTTCTTTTGATTGACAACATCCACTATCAAAATTCAGTGACCCACTTTAGTGTAAAAGTCGAAATGGGTAACAACACTTTAATAAACAATTTCATGGCTAAATCAGATCAATGTCTTGCTACTCAGAATGACGGTGTAAAGAAATTTCACAAGGTGGACAAAATTGATGGTGTAGTTTACACAATTCCTATTGATTCTTTGATCATTTTTAGAAAAAAGTTCCACTTCCCTAACAATCTTATGAAGAAGGTGCCTAAATAGTCCGATGAAGCGTATTCTCCTCATTTAGGATATCTAACTTTTTATGAGTTTAGTTTTGAAAGTAAGAGATGCGCCGAGAGGGGGGGGGGTGGTGAATTGAAAATTTATTGCAATGAAAAGACAATCCTAAACATGACTTCTAATTTTTTTTTGTGTTTTTAAAATTTAAACAAGAGAATTATTTGGTATGGAAGCGAATGCTTAAAACACAATTTGCAATAATAGGTGGTGAAAAATTAACTTGCTCAAAAAAATATTTAACTATGATTTTTACCAAGCAATTTTAACAAAAATAAAATGCAGAAAGTAAATAAAGTGCATTAAGGGAAAAATCACACCAGAGAATTTGTAGTGGTTCGGTTAATTGACCTATGTCCACTCCCTGGAGTCCTCCACTCTGGGAATTTCACAACTAAATAATAATTCTACTTTTGACCCCAAAGCAAGGAGGAGAAGCCTTTATAAACTCCACTTTCACCGACCCAACGTGGTGGAGTGCCAAGAACTATGTCACCCTCCTGGTGACGGTAGCGAACCTTCTCATTTTTCTCCCTCCTAAAGAAGGCAGAGTACTTTAGAGGACACGGATGTAGAAGAATCTCCCCACTTAGAGAGCCTCCCATAAGATATTCTCGGGCCATAGGAGGAGCAACGTGCAGCAAGCTAGGAGCAACCGTTTGATCTCCCTCACACTTCTTCTCCCTCACAAAGCCCACCTTCTCCTTCCATTCACAAACCCCAAAATCTTCTCAAGAGCTCTCTCCCAAGGAACCCACCTCTAATCACTTTCATCACTCACAAAATTTCAAAAAACAAAAATTTAGACATTTAAAAGAGGCTCCAAGAACCCAAAATTTTATGAATTCAACCGTTATGATTGTATAGTACGATCCAATATCGTATAGTATGATTAGTACAAAATAACCTTTATCCTGGTTCAAAGGATTATGGACAGGTAATATTTTTGAATAATATAGTACAACTTAATATAACATCATCCAGTATGATATGTAAAATCATTATGTTAGTATAGGACGATTGCTGGGATGATGAAAACTTGTCTCTATATGTCGTATGGTATGAACAACTTCGTATAGTACGATTAGTTCAAAATCAAGGGATTGTCCGGTATGATGTCCGGGACGATAAAAAATAGCCTCGGCATATCATACGATATGAACCATGTCATACAGTATGATAACCAATCAAAAATTACTCCTTGATTTACTGACTAATCTCTAGGTTAATCTAAGTAAATATTCAAAATATCATACAGTACGATACTATCATACAGTACGATCAGTTTAAAATTTTCATATTAAGAACTTATTTAAATTAATATGGTGGCTAAGGTTTTGAATTAGAAACACAACATACAGTACAATATTCATCATACAGTATGACTTGTTTACAGATAGCCATTGAGCCAGATTAGATTGTATAGTACGATTAAGGTGGATTTGTAATTGTAGGATCCTGAACAGGTGGAGGTTGTTGAAAGTAGTGGGGATGCATGCGAATTGTTAAACAATTAAAGTAAAGCATTCCCCAAACCATCGCATGTCATCCTGATGTTGTTGATGCTGTTCTTGAATGTGAGGATCAAGGTGGATTTGTAATTGTTCAAATCGTTTGACTAGGTCTTCATGAGGATAGGATGGTGTAGGTCCTCGGGGTGGTGCATGCCGTCTTGGTGGAACTAGAGCTCCTGCTGGAGCAGCCTCTCCTTCTTCTTTATAAAAATTTGGTTCATTCGGTTCTTTCCCTCGATGAAATAAAATATGGAAGGAGGCATCCATATAAAAAATGGGTAGATTGTAGGTTCACCAGGATAGGTTAATTTATGTTTATTTTGAAGAATGTAACCTATGAGATGGCCAAGGGCTAGATTTTATTTTCTATGGGTGATAGGGAGGCGGACTAAGGTCATGTTCAAGATAATCAATAATCAAATCAACCTAATCAAATTTAGTGTTTTAAATAATAAAGTAAGTAATAATTGATAAGATTGGGGTCATGCGGATTCGGTTGCCAGCTTTGGGTATGATTGAAGTTTGAAGAACGTGTTGAATAATTCTGGCATTTCGGGTTAGTGACTGTACAAGAGTCTGGTGTTGGTAAAAAGTGACATTCATAAGGACTAGATTTACAACACTCCAGTTGAATTCATTTGTAAGGAAGAATGAGCTCTAGGACCTTCAGTAGGCAGCCCAATGTATTGGGCAAGATCTGCCTTAGTGATTTCAACACATTGTTGGCAGACAAAGGAGGTGAGGGTTAGGTTTTTGACATTTATAATTAGTTTGGCAAAGAATTCAAATAGAAGTTTAGAGTTATAGGGGAAGGCTAGGGTAAGGAGGAATTACAGAGTGGTGGATGCGAATAGGCTCATTACCTTAAAATTTAAGGCCACTTTATTCAATATCCGTGACGGGGTAATTTTGCATGCCTTAAATTTATGGTAGGACTCTTCATCTTTGGCGGTTAAGAAATGGTTATTGAGACAGTGAGAGAAAGACGAGCTTCCAAGGATGAGATGACCACACTTGCTAGAGCTTGCCATTTAGCAAAAATAGATGAGAGTGAGGGAATTAGCTAAGGAGTGAGAGAAATGATCATATGTGCCCTCTGATTTATAAAGTTTTTGGAACATCATACAATACAATTGAGGTTCATATAGAACAATGTGCAATAATGTCATCTGGATGAACGGTTGGGAAAATGTGGTCAAATCATATAGTACGATATGTATCGTAAAATACGATCTGAAGGAATTACAATTGTTCCGAGGGTCATCGGTACGACCTTTGATGAAAAGCATTATACAGTAAGAATGCGTGTTTGTATAGTACGAACAAAAATTATATCATACTGACCCACTTAAATTCATCCCCATCCATTTTGCTAATGTGGATCGTATAGTACGAACTACAATTATATCATACCAACCTAGTTAAAGTCATCCTCTTCCATTTGCTGATGTGGATCTTATAGTACAAAGTTGTGCAATCATACAGTATAAAGTGTAATTATATCATACCAAATGGCTTTAATTCATCCCAATCCATTGCTAACATGGATCGTACAGTACGAAGAAGAGGTATCATATAATACAAGGTGCAATTATATCGTACCAAACAGTTTGGATGCACAGCCACATGTATCATATAATATGATGAGCAGAGAGGAAATTAATGCTAGACTATTGGTTTTGTGGAAACTTGATTAGGATGTTAAGCCTAAGCTATTGTCCCATGGCTAACCAAGAGGGGGGAGGTGAATTGGTAATTTTAAAACTTTCTCTTGGATTTAAAATTTAAAAACCTTTAATT